GTAACACACCCCGAAATATTACCATATGCGGGAAAGTAATTTATAGTCCAAAGTAATATTGCTCTTAGATTTAAGTATTCTTTCTTATAAGCATCATATGTCTTCACGCCAGTTTCCCACAAGAGTTTTAGATCTGTTATCAATGGTTCCAAATAGACATTAATATTGTTACCAGGTTATTTTGGACCTGATATCAATAGAGTCAACATCATGAATTTTCTTGTCATGCACAAATAAGAGGGTAGATTATAAGTTATTAAGATAACCGACCAACAATTATGCTTGGAACTTAATGACTTGTGAGGATTGATACCATCAGCGGACAAGGCTAATCTAAGATTTCGTTTTTCTTCTCCGAATTCTTTCCACGTTCTATCAACATGCTTCTAAGAGGGGGAATCACGAGGATGACTTAGCATACCGTTATTAGCCCAACCTTGTGCATGCCAAGTTAAGTCCTATGCCATTTCTGGTGACAAAAACATTCTCATAAATCTGGGGATGGGAGGAAAATACCACAAAACTTTTGAAGGTACATTTTTGGTATTCTTCTTCCAACGAGATATGCCACAAGTTGGACATTGAGAAGCATCTTTATGTTCTTTACAGAATAGAACATAATCGTTTTCACATGCATGAATTTTTTCATACTATATCTACCACTTTTAATAATTTCTTGGCATCATATAGGGAGTTAGGTATTCTATTGTTTAATGGTAAGACATCTTTTAGGGCACCTAACAATACTTCAAAAATAGCCTCAGACCACCCAAATTGACCCTTGATATGTTGGAATTTCAATAATCCACTAAGTTCATTATACTTTGACCCTACGTAAAGTGGCTTCTCACATTCTTCAAGAAGTGACTTCAATGAATCGGGTTCTTTTTCTACATCTCTGAAGGCATCATGTAGGATATCTCTTGTATAATCAAAGTGGGGAGGAATAGATTTGTTAGGGCATCTAGAATCAAGCTCAGGTTGTCTTTCTCCATGGAAAGACCAAACCTTATAACTTTCATCGAAGCCAGACGCAAACAGATGATAGCGCACGATCTGAATTGAGTGGTGCCACAAATTGATACAATGTATACAATGACATCGAATAAGATATGAATTTGGATCATTATTTTGTGCAAAGTCTAGAAAGGTGTTTACACCCACTTCATATCCATCAGATAACCTATCAGATGAAATCCATGCTTTATCCATCAACCATTACTTACCAACCTAAATAATTATAAAGTATTAGGTGGTGCCACAAATTGATACAATGTATACAATGACATCGAATAAGATATGAATTTGGATCATTATTTTGTGCAAAGTCTAGAAAGGTGTTTACACCCACTTCATATCCATCAGATAACCTATCAGATGAAATCCATGCTTTATCCATCAACCATTACTTACCAACCTAAATAATTATAAAGTATTAGCAAAACTATAACTTTATAACTGATGATTGATGAAATATTTATGTAAGATATGAAGAACAAAATGCTTACCCCAAATTACCAAGTACAAAGTAACCCTAAACAATTGATTTTGTACTATGCTATAGAACAATGTTCAAGGGTTATGACCTATTCATAAAATCTAAAAAACCCAATCGAAACTGGAACAAACCCTAAAAATATTAGATAAATTATTTGAAAACCCAATTGAAAATAAGGAAAGTTTGCATATGAACCTAGTTCAACTGTGCCAACTGTTTAACATTTTGATAAAAAGTGATAGAACATGGAGCAGTTTTATATTTGGCTTTAGAGTTTAGTATACTGCATCATAGTCTATGATCTAGATAGAAAAGAAAAGAATTAATCTTTAACATATGGGAGAAGCCATCCTTTTGGCTAGAAATCGATGATTTAAGTTTATGAACTTGGGTGAAATTGATTTTGTTGCATGATGGGTAATTTTTAAAGTAAAGCATAGAAACATGGGTGAAATTGGTGTTTTGTTGCTAGGGAATAATTGATTAAAGAATCAAAGGTATTGTCTAAGAAGTTCGAGTGTAGGTAAATCACACGAACGAGGACTTTAGACAGCTTTTGAGGTTTTTTTGGCAGTTGCATAGTTGTTTGTTTGTTATCCCCCCTTGTTTCCCCACCTCAGCATTGTGTTGTTGGGAAGCCATTGTTTATGCATTTCATGATACCTTATGGTGTTGTCAACTTTTTTTCTACTGTAAACATATGTGTTGAAACTTATCATTTTTTAAGAAGGTGAATCTTTTTATTTTCCTTTCTTTTCATTTTCAATGTCTTTTGTGTAATTTCTATCATAAATAGGGAGCTCAAAGAAATGCATAGTTTCACAATGGGTCTACAATTGTGCAGAAAAATTGTTTTGCAACTAATGCATTCACATATAGGGAAATGTAAGCTCATCTGAAGATATATCAGCAAAAACCAAAACTGTTATAGAATTGAAGAAACTCCAAGTGTTAGAGCTTCAATGTCGCCTACGGAGGTATGTCCCTTAAAAAATTTCCTTAACTTATTATTATATTTCTTAACTTATTATTATATTTTTATCAAAAATATATCAATGTGGTAAATGCAAAAGTTTTTAAGAAACAAATAATCGACATTGGGGTAAACGAATAGGCTAGCAGAAACAAGATATGTCTGTAAATATTTCAACAAGCATAAAAAAAACATATATCACAAGACAATCAAAGTTCAACATTTTTGAACCAAAATACATAATCCATCAAAACCCAAAAAACAAAAAGAGTTCAAGAACTAACACAAGAGTCCACTGAAGTAAAAAAAACCCGAAATAACCCACTTAAACAACCTATGAAATGAACAAATCAGTAGCGATTAAACAAATAATAGAAAATTAAACAAGCAACAAATCTCGATTCAAAACAACATATATGAAGTAAAAGCATCAAACCCATTAAATCAGACAAAATAGAATCAACAAACCCCCAAATGTTGGAATAGAGAACGAGGATTACCTGTGGAAACCCTTGATTTTTGACTCCCTCGAATGCGTTGTGATGAATGGGCAAACCAGTGGGAGGTTGCAAAGACAAAAATGGAAAAAAGAGAAAAATGGGGGAAACACATGCGGTGTGAACTTTTTTAACGAGGGGGAAGAAGTGGGAAAGGATGAAAATAATAGGAGGAGAAATTAGAATACGACTCCTAAAGATGACACACAATTAAAACTATACTCCGTGTTTTTGTAATTTTTTGGGATTATGACTATTAAATATGACACACATTATTGTAAGTCATAAATTAGCGTGTCAACGTTCATGTGTCATTAAAGGTATATTTTCTTGTAGTGGGCTAAATTTGATTTTTGCTACTGTAAACTGTTACACTAATGTCGTAGCATTGTAGAAAATGTTGAGCAAATGTTGTAGCAGTTGATGTAGCTCCAGACAATTGGGAGAACATTCTGGATGGGAAAGATGTCTTAGAAGCTTTCAGTGGGCTTGATATCACCTAAATTGTGGAAAATTTTCATTGGAAAATGAGAATTCCATCCAAACTATAAATGAGAGTACTTGCATGCAAAAAAAGTATGACGATTAGAAGCCATTTGAAAATACCATTTTCCACGTTAATTCTTCGTACGCCATAGAAGCTTAAGCCCCCTGTCAGGGATTACTGTAGGACAAGGAGAGCTAGTTGAGCAGCATCGACAGTTAGCAAATCACCATTCCAGGCCTTCTATTATGTGAATGAGTGATTTGAATGTTTTAAACTCTTTATGGATTGATATTGTGGATTTCTTATTTTATGTTTACTTTGATACTTCTTTTATGAGCTTGGTACTTTATGATTGCGAGTAAAAATACTTATGATTAAATATATGGTAATTTCAATTATTTTTAGAAAAATATTTTGTTGATTTACTATATACCTTTGATGGCATTGATGTTGCTGAGTAGCAGAGTGTGTGCTTAAAACATGCAACCAATTGATTGTGTTGGTAATATTTTGAACCTTTAATTAATGAAAGTAGTTAGAGAAGTTCAAAAGGTCTTAATCAATGCTGATTACATAAATTTGATACACCTTTTTTTTGCATAAGATTTGATGTTCACAATATTTTATCCATCGCTGTGATAGTTGACTCAGTGCTCTCTAGAGTGCTATTGCATGAACTAATGTTTCCTTTATTGATTTTACTATAATTTACTTTGCATCTTTTCTTATTCAACATTCTTTATGTTACAAACTCTAATGAAAACATCTTTCTCCCTATAGGTTCAACATTCGTAGCATTCATTTGCTACCAACTTGATACTGACATGTGCACTTGCGTAATTGCTATAGCATTTTTGTAGCATCAAGTTTTTGGCGTCGTTGTCGGGGAGCATCAGTTTGATTTAGGGCTTTTTTTATTTTGTTTACACTGTTATTTTTATAGGTATTTTTAGTTTCTGCTTTTACTAGTGCATGCCCCAAAGCGATGAAGAATTAGAACCATTTGATCTAGAGATTAAAAGAACTTTTAGGAGATGTCACTGTGAAGCTACCCAAAACAGAACAAATATGGCTGGATGAGGGAATGGCATTTTACCCCCATTACAGAATGGAGAAAATTATGAGTTTCCAGCTGGCATTGAAGTTGGACATCCATATCAAAATTTGGATGATCGTAATCACCCTATTCATGAGCATGTGGTACTGATGTTGGATGATCTGCATCAAGGCATTGTGAGGCCAGTGATTATTGATGTGAATTTTGAGTTGAAGCTAATTATGTTCTAAATGTTACAATCTATGAGACAATATGGAGGGTTTGTCGTTGAATATCCTAGGGCTCATTTGAGAGCGTTTATGGAGGTTTGTGATTCCTTTATTCAACAAGGTGTTCAGGATGAGACAATAAAGCTGAAGCTATTTCCTTATTCGCTACATGATAAAGCATGTGCTTGGTTGAGTTCACTACCACTAGGTGTTAAAGCATCTTGGAATGAGTTATCCAATAATTTTTTGTTACGATTCAACCCACCTGACATGAATGCCAAACTCCAAAATAATTTAACTTTATTCAAGCAAATGGAGGATGAAAACTTGTATGAAGCATTGGAAGATTCAAGGAATGGCTATGAAAGTGTCCTATGCATGGGTTTCCACATTGGACCCAAATGTAGATGTTTTACAATGGGCTAAATATACACACTCGTATGGTGGTCAATCCTTTAGCTAATGGAGCTTTGTTAGATAAGACATACAACTAAGCATAAGATATCCAGGAAAAGATATCAACTAATGATTGTCAATACCCTAATACAAGAAATATGTTTGGTCGACGTAATGCTGTAGAAGTAGATTCTGAAGCTTCTAACTCTATGGCATCTCAGATTTCAGCATTGATAGAAATGGTAAAGAAATTGCTAAGACCAGAAGGAATGTATGAAGTCAAAGCTGTATCTCTCATCACTTGTGTTTATTGTTGCGATAATCATAATTTTGATGAATGCCCCTAAAATCCAGAGTCTATCTACTATGTACGGAATTATCAAAGGAATAATAATGCTTTTGGCTACACATACAATGCAAAATTTTGAAATCATCCTAATATTTCTTGGATAAGTCAGAATATTGCCAACCCACAGAAGAAGTAATATCAACAACAATAATATAATCAGCATAACCCGATGCCATAATCATAAGCATAACATCATGTTGCTCAACCACAACAAAGGCAAATTATCAAGGTTAATCTTCAAACCAAACTTAAACTTTATCATCTCTAAAATATTTGATGAAAGATTATATGGAAAGACAATCAGCCTCGTTAAGGGCTTTAGAAAATCAGATAGGACAAATGGCTAATGCTCTAAACAGTCGATTACAAGGAACGCTACCTAGCAACATCGAGAATCCAAAGCAAAATGGTAAAGAGCATTGCAAAACCATTAATACAAGAAGTGGAATTCATATTGGAGAGCCAGTTGAAGAACCTAGGAAAAATGATGAGGAAGTTCCTAAGCATTCTGAATGAAATAGCAAGGAAGTTGAGCCCAAGATACCTCTGAGTCAATCCATATCATAAGATACAAGACAATGTAGTAATTCAGAGTCATTACCAACAATAACACGTGCTATATCTGACGCTCTATCGACTTCAATACCTCAATAACAACAACCAAAAATGCCTCCACCATTTTCACAGCACTTCAAAAAGACAAAGAAAGATAAATACAAAGCCTTTATTGATGTCATTCGCTAACTCACAATTAACATTCTATTGATTGATGTTTTAGAGTAAAACCCAAACTATATCAAATTCATGAAGAAAGTTCTTTCGAAGAAAAGAAGACTTGGTGAGTTTGAGATTGTTGCTCTTACCAAATACTGTAGTCCTATGGAAACTAGTCATTAACCACTGAAGCTTAAAGATCCATAGAGTTTCACTATTACTTGCAATATTGGTGATACATTTGTAGGTAAAGCTCTATGTGATTTGGGTGCTAGCATAAATTTAATGACATTTTCAATCTTTAGAAAATTTGGGAGCGGCGAAGGAAGGCCCATTACAGTCACTTTTTAACTTGCTAATAGCTCTACCGTGCATCCTAATGGTATTGTAGAGAACATGCTTGTGAGAGTAGATAAGTTTATTTTTCCTACGGACTTCATAATTTTGGATTGTGAGGTGGACAAATATGTTCCAATTATTCTCGGTCGCCCATTTCTTTCTACGGGCAAAATTTTAATCAATGTTAAAAAAGGAGAATTGACTATCGTTTGAATGACAAGCATATTACTTTTAATGTTTTGAATAATGTTTCTTATATAAATGATAATACTGACTGTTTTTCACTTAATGTGATCGAATTTTTACACAAGAGCATTGAGAAGAATGGTACATCACAGATAAAGCCATTAATGACTCGATAATAATCGAGGAATTTTTGGACGACACAGAAGATGAATGTTATAGCAATTATCTATAGTACATCGAACCTCTAGAAATGCATGATCATGTTATTCGAGCATCGAAGCCATCTATCGAGGAAGCACCAAAGCTTGAATTGAAAACTCTACCAGAGCATTTAAAATATGCTTACCTTGGAGAAAATGAGACAATGCTAGTCATTGTAGCAGCACAACTAACATCATCGCAGGAAGCTCAATTGAATGATGTACTAAAGCAGCATAAGAAAGGTATTGCTTTGAGCATTGTTGATATAAAAGGCATTAGTCCATCATTTTACATGCACAAAATTCTTTTGGAGGACCCTAATAGTAGCTCGATTAAACATCAACGAAGGTTAAATCCAATCATGAAGAGGAAGTGATTAAAAAAAGATTATCAAATAGTTGGATGCTGGCATTATATATTCGATTTCGGACAACAATTGGTTCAGTCCTGTACAATGAGTTCAAAAGAAAGGTCACATTACTTTGGTGACAAATGACAAAAATGAATTAGTATCGAAAAGAACTACTACTGGTTGGAGAATATGTATGGACTATAGGAAGCTCGATAAAGTGACGGAGAAAGACCATTTTCCATTTTCATTCATCGAAAAAAAAGCTAGAACCTCTTGCTGGAAATGTTTCTTACTGTTTCATGGATGGATAAAGTGGTTATAACCAAATTGTTATAGCACCAAAAGTCCAGGAGAAAACAACTTTCACATGTCTGTATGGTACATTTGTTTTTGGTAGATTGTTAATGTGTGATGCTAGTGACTATGTTGTATGTGCAGTGCTAGGGCAACAAAAAGATAAAATGTTTCACGCGATACATTACACGAGTAGAATGTTGAACGAGGATTAGGTTAATTACACTACAACTGAAAAAAAGTTGCTCGCTATGGTGTTTTTCTTTGACAATTTTCATTCATACCTGGTGAGCACAAAATATGTTAACTTTGCCAACTATCTAGTTCGGGGGATGATGCCACCTAATATTAATTATCAAGGCCAAAGAAAATTTATAGGGGACATAAATCAATACCATTGGGAAGAGCTGCATTTATTTAAACAATGCAATGATTAACTTATACGATGGTGGAATACATACAGTTTCAAAAGTGCTTCAATGTGGATTTTATTAGTCATCACTTTTTAAAGATGCCAATGAATTTGTGAAGTATTGTGATTACTGCTAGCGAACAAGTAATATTTCTTGACGAAATAAAATAGCGATGCAACTTATCTTGGAGATCAAGCTTTTTGATATTTGGGGATTAGATTTTATGGATCCATACCCGTCTTCGTTTGGCAACCTCTTTATTCTATTTGTTATCGACTATGTATCCAAATAGGTGGAAGCTGTAGCGTTACTAAACAATAATACTAAAGTAGTGCTATGTTTTCTGCAAAAAAACATTTTGAGTCACTTTGGAACTCCCTGTTCTTTCATCAGTAATAAATGATTCCAGTTCAACAAGAATCAGGTTGATAGAGCATTGAAGAGATATGGTGTGATGCATAAGATCACTACAACATATCATCCACAATCTAATGGTCAAGACGAGGTGTCTTATCGAGAAATCAAGCAAATTCTTGAGAAGATTGTGAATCCTTCTAGAAAAGATTGGTCACAATGTCTTGAAGAATCATTATGGTCTTGTAGGGCCTCTTACAAGAATCCATTAGGGATGTCCCTGGGAAGTTGTGCTCTCGTTGGTCAGGCCCTTTTGAAGTTATTGAAGTTTTCCCTCATCGCGTAGTGTTACTAAAGAACTTAGTGGATGGAAGCACATTTAAAGTCAATGGGCAATGTTTAAAGCATTATTTCCAGCAATAAAGCCCTAGCATTGCTTCAATCACACTAAGAGATCCCCTTCCATTTTAATATTTTTGCATGTTGAATAAGTCAATTTCTTTGACATTTATTTTTAAGTTCTTCTTTTTATTTTCTTTGTACAAGTTATTCTATTTATCATTCACTACTAATCTTTCTTTGATTCACAACTCTTCGTAATATGGTGCACATCCATTGTTGTACTGAAGGAACAACAGTACGTGGGTAACAATATATATTGTATGTTAAAATTCAGTGTGAGTTGTTGATGCTACGTAAGATGCTATAGCATTAAACGTAAGTATATGTATCCCTCAAGTAATAAAGTGGTAGCAATTATGCTACGGAAGTCGAACCTACAGGGAGCTGAGTGTTATCATTAGAGTTTGCAAAAATAAGATGTGTCAAGTATAAGAGATGCTAAAAAGAGGATAATAAAATCAATAAGGAAAAAAACTAGTTCTTGCTACAGCAATCTAGGAAGCACTTAGTCAACTATGAAATCAATGGATAAAATAATATGAACTTAAAAAAATCTCATGCAAGCAATATACACTCAATTTATGCGATCAACATTGATTAAAACCTTTTAAACTACTTTAACCACTTTCATCAATTAAAAGCTCAAACTATTAACAACAATAATCCATTGGCCACATACTTTTCAGCACACAATATGCTAATCAACAACATAAATTCTCACAAAGGTATATAGCAAATCAACTGAAACTATTTCTAGAATTAATCGAAAATACTACATATTTAATTATAAGTATTTCTATTAAAAATAATAAAGTACCAAGCTCATGAAATAAGTATCAAAGTAAACAAAAAATAAGAAATTCATATTATCATCCAACAAAAGTTTACATGCTCTCTCTCAATATAAGGCCTTAAACGGTGAACTGTTGATTGCTGATGTTACTCAACAAGCTTACCTTATACTGAAGTGATCATTGGCAGGGGGCTTAGGCTTCCATAGCTCTTAAAGTTTAACGTGGAAAATGGTACTTTGTATAGCTCTATATCATCACACTTTTTTGTGCTCAAGTACTCACATTTTATAGATTGAATGAGAATTTCATCTCCCAATAAAAGATGTCCATATTTTAGGTGATATCCAGTCAAATGACAATTTCCCGAGCTAGTTGTCCCAATCCAGAAAGTTCTACCAACTATCTGGAGCATAGACGATCGCTGCAATATCCGCTAGACATTTCTTGCAATGCTAGAACACCAGTTAAACAATTTTAAGTAGCATAAATCAATTTTAGCCTTTGGCCACCCACAATGCTCATCTCATGCGAAATGTATAAAACTAAGTAAATTTAATCCTAAAATGCTCCTAAACATGCTTAAGTTCAAAC